AAATTTTAAGTTTAAATTATATAATATATATAAATAAAAAAAATATTTCGCATCATATAATTAAAATAAAACCAAAAAAAGTTTTGTAATTCATGTAAAATAGATTGTAACGTACTCTTCCGAATTATTAATGTCTCTAGTTAAAAATACGTGGAAAGTAACTCCAAAATCCTCTGTAGGTACATGGCTCCGAGACTAGTTGCAGAAAAGCCTCGCCGTTCAGTCATTTTCACAGGTTGCTTTAGTAAACTCATCGCGCAACCAAAACTAGATTCTAAGAATCGGACGGTTTCCAAACTGATCATAAGATCAATTCATTTTCTATACTATTTTCATTTAAATATATTTATTTTTTAAATAAAATAAAAATATAATAATTTATTAATAAAGTTTTATATTTATTATTAATTAAATATTATTTAAATAAAATATTTTATTTAATATATATTATAATTATATTTTAAAATAAAAATAAATATATTAAATAATATTTCAAAAATAAATAATTAAATTTAAATACTTATATAAAAAATTAAATTTATTAAAATTATATGAAGAAGTAAATATTATTTTAGTATAAGTTAAAATGATCCAAGGGTTCAGAAATCCTCACATATGATCCTATGGTCTCCCTTTCTCCTACTTACAAACATAGATTTTTAGTAGTATAAAAGATGCGTCTACCATATGAATTGAGATTGAGAAGCGGAGCCAGAGTTGAAATTATCTTTCTCTGCGTTTCCTTTACTTCCTCACAAACACTACCTTGTCCCATACTAATTCTGCTCCTGAAAACTACAAACCATAAGGTAGCCTCTTTTCTGTTCTTGCTTTCCTTTTATTTTTAATCTTAATTAGTTAATAATCTCTAATTTGTATACTTGTGTGGTATATTGTGCAGATAATTTTTCCATTAGAAAATGAAGAAGAAAAAAAAAAAACATACAAAGAAGTTTTCGTCATAATTTGAATCGATGGAATTGGGAAAAAAAATTGGCGAGAAGGTTGAAGCAAACAGAGGTATGCTAATTTTTCATAACAATTTTCTTTTGGAATTGTGTTCAGTAAATTTTACTAATTTTATTTTTTTTCATCGTGAAGAAGATTGTGAGAGATCCATTTGAAAGACTAGGGGAGCTTAATCTTAACAGAAATGAACAAAAAATGTTCGTTTCTGTTACGGTTCTTATCCATTTTAATAAGATAATGGTCCATAAACCTTATATGTGCCTTGCCCAAATTGGTTTGGAGGGGCATAATCTTCATATGACATTGAATATTCCCAAAGTTAGCACTAGACTTGTAAGAAGTGGCCCAAAGGGAACTAATTGGACCAGAGGGACTAACAGACGCCCATACACAAGATATATGGAAACATGGGCAGGAAGACGTCAAAGGTGTCTCATTGGTTTATTATTCTTGAAAGAAATTGTGTTTTTTTTTTTTTTTTGGTGGAATATAAATTTTTATTACCAATAACAAGTATACTACTTGATGATGGTAATGATAATGAAGGTACATGTGGCTCTATTTGTTGGTACTTGGTAGGAAACACTTTGTTAGACATGAACTTATGAATATGCTGCATAACTTTGCCCAGGGCTTCTTTCACTGTCAACAACTTAATGGCCTACTCCTCCATTGCCTGCTGCTCCAGTGCTTATGCCACCAGCATCAAGTCCTGCAAGAGTTACTCCTATACAGCATTATGTTAGGAGATCAAAACGTGCTAGACTTACTTCAAAGAATTTTCATAGTCAAAAAGGCACAAGTATATTGACTAGAATCCATAATATGGGATAGCCTTTTCCTTGCCTGCTCTCTATTTGGTATTTCCTTGTTAAACTTTTCTTATGCTCTGGATTTTCATAAATTTTTTATGGTTTATTTTCTGAGAGTTGCATTTCCCTCTTTATTATTGAGAGTTGTCTGGACAAGGTAAGTTACATTGAAACATGGAATTGTTTTAATTAGTTTACTGTAGTGTGCTAGTCATATTCTTGATATGTTCATTTGAACATTCCTGTCTTTAATTGTTGGTTAAATGTTAAATTTAGTTCCTCAATTTTACGAAATGCACATTTTTTAATCTCAATAATTTTTTGTATTTTTTTATCTCTCAACTTTAAAAAGTACACAATTTTGGTCCTTCTATCAGTTAAGTATGATATGACAGTTAAATAATTTCATGTGACATTGTTTTTAAATTTTTTTAATGATGTGATAATATATATTATAATTATGTTATACAAATAAATAAAAATGTCACGTAGATTTATATTTATATTTTAATTAAAAACAAATAAAATTACTTTATTACCTTCACCTTCCTAATCCCTCTTCTTCCCCTTCTTTCTTTCTCTTTCTTTCTTTTTTACCTTGGGTCGGTAGAAATAGGTTAGGTTTCGATGGAACTCAGCAGCTAGGTTCAACGTCGAACCCAACGAACCCAGTTGCTAGGTTCGTCGAGGTTCATCGAAACCCAGCAAGGTTGGGTTTCGACGATCTTGCTGGGTTTCACCGTCAATCCCAACTGCTGGGTTTGTCGGGGTTCGTCAGAACCCAGCAAGGTTGGGTTTCGACGAACCCAGGCTTGCTGGTTACGCGAACCAACAAGCTAGATCGGTTGAGTTCTTTTGACTTCCATTCTCAGTTAATAAATTTGAGAGTTAATTTACAATGGAATTTGATTAAAGTTTGATTATATTTTTGTTGGAATTTGATTAGAGTTTGATTGATATTGTTTATTGAAGTGTAAATTTGATTTGATAAAATTTGTTAGGTTTGAGGCTTCAATGAAACCCAGTAGCTGGGTTCAATGACAGAAAAGAGAAGAAGAAATGAGTTAAGATCGATTTTGCAAATGGAGTGGAAATGAGAGAGCATTCAGAGAAGAAGAAATGGGTTAAGATCTCAATTTTGCAAATGAAGTGAAGATGAGAGAGCATTCAGAGAATAAGAAGATGAGTTAGATTGATTTTGCAGAGAGTGAAGATGAGAGACCATTTTAGGGTTCACATACCTTTCTTTATTGGTGGTTTGCAGGCAACGTGGGATCCATTGGAGGGGCTTTGGTGTGGGAAGATGACATGTCATCAAAAAAAATTCAGATCAACACTTTTTTAAGTTGTCATTGCCATGTCATCAAAAAAAATAATATATAAAAAATGTCACGTGGTTGAGTTAACAGGTCAAATTGACAAAAAGACTAATAGAATACATTTCGTATAGTTGAAGGATCAAAAAAGTACAAAAATTATTAAGGGACCAAAAATGTGCAACTCACTAAAGTTAAAGAGCCAAATTTAGCATTTAACCTTAATTGTTTATAGTCAAAACTATGAAACTTGGTTAGTGGGCTGCATGTGCCAGCCACTAACCAAGTAAATGCAACACCTGGCCTTTTATTATAAAAGACAAGTGGTGCAAGAGTGGCTAAAACCATTAGAAATACCATGGTCTAGTTCAATGGTATCGTGCTTTGTTAGGTAAGTACAGATTACAGCTTTGGTTACTGTAATTGAATTTAAAATGATATTGTTTTGGTTAAATATGATCCTAGACTAAAGCTAATGCAAGAATTAAGTTTGAAGTTCTAAGAATCTATTAACCGTGAAAGGTACTAAATAGACCTGTTAATATGCAAGTTGAATTTAATTGTATAGCCATGTCTAGCCATGTCCATGCAACGATTTAAAATGAAGTTAATCTAAAAGTTACAGCTCAAACCTGACCTTCTTGGCTAAGGTTGCAGGTCTGGGATGTAACATCTTTTCTCGGTAACTCTTTGATGAGTACTGTTGAAGGTTATTGCAGTTTGGTTCTTTTCTTATCACCTGAGTGACATGCTGCTTGATTGCTATTGCTAATTTTAATAGTAGTGTTGTATGCTTTGCATCCTTTGAATATTCTTTGTAAGAACTATAGATCGTTGCTGGAGTGACATGCTGCTTGATTGCTATTGCCACTTCTAATAGCAGTGTAGCATGTCTTGCATCCTTTGAATATTCTTTGCCAGAACTGTAGATAGTTGCTGTTGATTGCTATTGCTACTTTTAGTTAGGGAACTCATTCTGCCAATTGTGTTTAAAGCATCAGATTCAGCATAGCCATGTCCATGCAACTATTTAATATGCAAGTTGAATTTAATTGTATAGCCATGTCTAGCCATGTCCATGCCACTATTTAAAATGGAGTTAATCTAATTCTCCTTGTTCTGAAAATTTAGTGCTTGAATGTATTATTGTTCTTTGGTAGATAAACAGGATTTTTCAGTGGACAAAAACGCAGTTCCGAATGTAGTAAGCATGATTTTTTGAGAGACGGAAGTTAAGAATAGAGTAAACATGATTTTTGACAAAAGCACAGTTAAAAATATAGTAAACGTGATTTTTCAGTACCCGAGTGGTATGCTGCTTGATTGCTAATGCTGCTTTTAATACTAGTGTTGTATGTTTTGCAACTTTTGAATATTCTTTGTAAGAACTATAGATAGTTGCTGAAGTAACATGCTGCTTGATTGCTATTGCCACTTTTAATAGCAGTGTTGCATGTCTTGCATCCTTTGAATATTCTTTGCAAGAATTATAGGTAGTTGCTGTTGATTGCTATTGCTACTTTTGGTTGGGGAACTCATTCTGTCAATTGAGTTTTCAAGAATCAGATTCAGCACATTGAAAGAAGTCTTCACTCCAAGTTTAATTCATCATTTCCTTTTTCCATTCTCTTTTCCTCCCCTTCAGGTTAAATTGCCCTCAGTTGCAGCTGGAATTAACAGCATGCTCCTTGTTCTGAAAATTAAATTCCAGACACGCTCGTTGTTTTGAAATTCAGTGCTTGAATGTATTATTGTTCTTTGGTAGATAAACAGGATTTTTCAGTGGACAAAAATGCAGTAAAGAATATAGTAAACATGATTCATGAAGAGACGAAAGTTAAGAATAGAGCAAACATGATTCTTGACATAGTACGGTTAAGAATATGGTAAACATGATTCTTCAGTGGACGCATATTTTCAATTAAGAATGATGCACATGCACTTGTTTGGCGCTTTGAATTAAAGGGACACATTTTTCACGTTTTTGAATCAAGAACTAATAATTTTTAAAAAAATTAAAATTTGATTAAAATAATGAAGTAAATTTATAAACTGAACCGTCACTCTCCGTTGTGCACCGCTGGTCTTCTCCCATTTCTCGCTCACACTAGACGGTAGTTCTCCAATCTCTCAACGCCGCCAGCAGCTCACCTCAATCTCGGCAGATAGTGTTATTGCCCGTGAAAATTTAAATCTCCTCTCATAGTCTCACAGTCTCATGGCTGCAAGCAGGTTTTTTTTTTTTTTTTGGGTTTTTTAAATGGTTGATTAACTAATCTGAAACTTTGGCCGATCAAAAGATAATCTTAAACTTTGATTTCGGCTGGCTTAATTTAGTTAATCGTTTTGGAAATTTTGGTTTATCTCTTTTATTTTTGCTGATTTTTTTCATACATATTTTTAATATGCCTTAATTGGAAGCGAACAAAAGACGTACGTTGTTTTCCGAGGTCGTAACCCTGAAATGTACAACAATTAGCCTGATTGTAAAGAACAAACAAATAAATTTAGTTATTCTTATCATAAGGCCTTCGGAGACAGATCACAGGCAGAAGAGGAGTATTTCAAATTTTGCCAAAATGTACGGTCAATTTTTTTTTTTCTTTTTTTTTTTTTTTGCTTTAGGAGATACTTTATTTATTGAATTTTGCTTATACTTTGATCTGGTGGTGATCCATGTGAAGCCTGTCTACGAATGCTCATGTTGCCGGCTGAAACTTGTTGAGGAAAGACAAGGCTCTAAGCCTAAATACTATGCTTGCCCAACAGTGAGTGTTCTTACCTGCTTTGGTTAATACATTAAATTTGCTTTTCATGTTTGTGTTTTTCCCATTTCAGAACTAAGATATGGTCTTGTATTTTCTTGGACTACCAGACAGGCAATTTTTATGTGTGAACTGAAAATTTGCTATTGTAAAAGGGCACCATGCAAGGTTAAAATTGTTAAGGGAGGGAGAAGAATGCATTATTGTCCATATGAGGTAAAAATGTGTTCGTTCTTACTTGTCATGTTTTCTTTGTGCTAAAATGAACTATAAGTATTTTAGGTATTGCTTTGTGAACTCTCAAAGCTAGAGCCACAGTGCTCTAGGAGCTGTTAATGGGTGCACTTTACATTTGGGCTAAATGCCCCACTGCCATGCCATGGTTACTTGTTTCTGACATTTGGTATTGCTTTTTACTTTGTAGGATGATTCCTGTGGGTTCCAAGGCTTCATGATGGTGATAAATCTGTTGGCAGTAGTTCTATCTGTTGTGAACGATGCTTGCACTTAGAAAATGAAGTGCAGAGATTAACAAAAGAAAGAGACCAGGCACAGGAGTTATGTAGGGCATACCAAGACATGTTGGGCTTTGAAAAATTGAACTTTGATGATGCATCTTAATTTTTATTCTAAAATACTATTAATTGTATCATTTTAACACTCTAACAAACAGAAGAATTTTTTATCTTAAATTTGTGTTCATGGGGATCCACCCACTTGGATCATTGTTTAACATGCAGCGTTAATTTCCAAATGCTTTTATGCCTTTGTCAGTTTTATTGAGGAAGAAGATCTTATGGTATTTGTATTTTCATATTTGTGTTTCATTATGGGGTTTTTTGGGTGAAAAAAGGGTGGATTTGTTTCCGGAGTTTGAAGGTGGAGAGAAAGGAGGAAAAGCAGTAGGAGGAAGGTGACGAGGCCGGTGATGTTTGGCTTCGTGGGCATTGAAGGTTGGTGAGACCACTTCTCTCTCTATTTGCCCTGAGTTTATGGTGCACCTTTTGTCTCCTCTTCTGCTGCTTTCAGCTTCTTTCTAACAATGTTTCTGATTCTCAATTTCTTATTGTCAGGATTGCAGTGAAATATTTCCAAGAGGAAAGCAAGTTTGCTGTTGTTTCTAAGTTCTGTGATTAATGTCTTCTTGGTATCATGTTGCTGATCTTGAGTATGGGTATTTTGTTGGCTGGAGTTCCGTTACGATTTATTTTGCAAATTATAAACTTTTGTGTGCAAAGAATATAGCAAATTATATAGTTTGCTAACGCTTAGAAATCCTAGTACTTCCAATTCTTGTAATTTCATTTTTACAAACAATATATTAATTTATACAGTTTGCCAAATTTTATGAAAAAAAAAAAAAAGCTTACGATATTCCTTACGAGTTATTCCCTAGCCACACTCCCATTTTTTTTAATTTCACCTTTGCAAATAATATGGTAACCTATATAATTTGCTAAAAACTATAACAAAATAACACTTACGTTATTCCTTAGAAGTTATTCATCTCACATCCTTTCCCAATTTATGTACTGTCCATTTTGCAAAGAATACACCAAGCTGTATAGTGTTCTAAATTTATAACAAAATCACGCTTACGATATCGATTACTCAACACTCTAATTTTTCTAATTTCACTTTTGCAACAAATATAACAAGCTATATAAGTTGCTAAAGTTTATTTCAAAATAACCCTTAGTATAT